ATTGGCACTGTCCTCTTCTACGTCCCTCTCTGCTAAACGGCTAGAGTTGTCGCGAGGGGTTAGCCCGTCGATAGGCGTGCCGCGTCGGTAGAGCCGCGGAGACGGCCATGCTAATTCGCCAGGAAAATATTCTTTTACAGCGAATTGCGTGTCGGTTCGCACCTTAGGAGGTGCCTGTCTTTCCCACTAGGTGGGTTCCCTTCTTCAACCTTCGAGCTAATCATGGAATCCTCCTTCAATGAGCTACTCTCGAAGCGATGCAAACTCGTCTATCTTTCCCTTTCTTCTTAACTCCAGAAACATTACTACATTCTATTTGTTAGTAAGCAATTTAAATCTGTAATGTACATCATTCAATTTGAAAAGGTTCAAGTTTTGTAGAGCGTATTTACGCCCGCATGAAATAAATGGGTATGTTGAGTGGAGATAATGAACAAAATATTTATTAAAATCGCCGAGTACAACTGTCAACGACTGCCACATTTGCCCATGGAGGAAGGTTGAGTCGCTGGGGAGGGATAGTCGTCATCATCATAAAGGGATTAGATATGGAGATGTGATGATTAAGGCGTATCGTTAAAGATTTATCGTTTGAGGAGTGCACTTCTTGAGTTCATTAGATAGTCATTGTGTCGTCACGATCTTTCCTGCACAGTACCTAAAGATCAGGATGAAACCTTAAGGTACGAGCTCCGAAGAAAATCCTCGAACTATTCTCTCCGTGAGCGCAGCAACAGGGTTCTCAAGCATAGGAATCAAAACGCAGTCGAGACTTGAGATTTTACAACAAAGGCACTAAAGCCTTGTATTGACCGCTGCAACCGCTGCCGCGTGCTCGTCCATAGCACACAAGCTGTCTCCGCTCTCTCTTCCGCCGTGCTCTATCATGTCTACACACGCTAAATAGGATCCCCTACTAAATTGGAAGAAGCCAAAGAAGTTGTGACCACGGCCGAAGGGAAGCGTGTCTAATACTGGACCGTGCCCTTTAAGTTAGGTTTGTCTAAGTTGTCAGCAGCAGGTGTTGGTCGATATTCTCGCAAAGGCCCAGAGGCGCGCTAATTAAAAAATTGAATTTGAGTCATAAACAACTAAAACCCACCTTTAGTGTTCGTATTTTTGGTCCATCAAGAGTCAGCACGCGGCCGTCAATGGCAGCTTCGACGCGTTCCTTCTTCAGATTAACAGACCCTAAACATAACTGTTCAATTCGATGCGCAATCTTTGACCACAGAATACTTACCTAGTACCTCATAGGCATCAAGCTGTACCACGCATGGTGCCACGTAACTCAAATGAACGGGCGCAAAATCTTTGTCCTGGTAGCCTGAGGCCTGAAATGGCTGGTAGAACAATAATTCTGAGCGAAAACCCGGATCTTTTGAATTCTGTCGAAGAAGACTTCTTGCCTAATCCATAATAATCAATAGGCGCCACAACATGCCCGTTTTTGAAAGCAAGCATTCTAGCAGCTCGAATTTCCCTACCGAGAAAGTGAAGGCAAATTGATGTCCCATCGATGCTCATTCCTTGGCAAAATTGCATATTGACCGATTTACCGCACGAAATGAATTAGACAGTATAATATCACTTTGGTCAGTTCGCTTAAAGGCAAACCCCGGGATTAGCCCGACCAGTAGGAAAGGATAGCGCGGGAAATTGTAAGGTCCGTACCTACCTAGATCACTCCAGCTTCGTCGCAAAAATTGCGCGGTTAGGGCGCTAATCCTTACGGGCCTGCAACCATCGACTCCCGTTCCAACGCTTCCCACCCACCGCGAGAGGTGGTGAGATCAGCGTGCATTGATGAGAGATCAGCGTGCTCTCTCAAACGACGTGCTCTCTCGCGTATTTTGTCTTCTTTGACCGCCCTGTCTCGCCACCGCCCACATCCATCTTGTTGGAAGTGAGGGCCTTAATTTCAGCGTTCCTAAGGATTTCTCTTGCTTTGTTCTCCACATTCAGGTCGTTCCACAGCTAAGCTATCACTACGAAGCACTCTTAGAACCAGTTCAATACCAGGGTTCGCCTTCAAGACATTTCCAACGTGTGTCTGTTTCACGTGTGATAATATTCAATTGAAAAACAAAGAAGACATGTCTTGATCAGGTTCTTATAAACTTCTTCCTGAGTGAGGTAGCAGGGCCATCCCATAAAAGGTGATACTGTTACGACTTGGCAACCAAAGCAGAGCTGAATGCTTCGTTTGACCGCCTGCCAACGCTGTTCTTCTCAATCAGTCGCAGCATACGTAGTGTCTGCACCCTCTCGTATACGACGTGCTCTCTCCCTTTTCCTCTCCTCGCAGCCCTCCGTCTATCGTACTACGGCCTATCTACAAAGAAAAGTTCAGTGTTTCTATGGTGTTTTAGCCTTTTAGTATTCAAGGGACCGATAGCGGCCCGTGTCTTCAAGGAACACCCCATAGTCTGTGATGGCTCAATTCTGCAACCGTTCATACAACTCCAAAACTTGACAGAACTACCACAAAAAACTAGTCCTTTCCTCATAAAAAGTTATGTAATAGCGAGTCACAAAGGTCAGACCTGTTCGTACGGCAGCCAGCAATATTCGAAACCAGCAGCCGTGGCTGGCAGTTCGACGAGCATTTGCATAGAGCCAACAATGTGTCCAGTGAACTCATGGCCAGCGCTGAAAACGGCACCAGGTACGATAAAAACTGTATGACTCGAATGAGTCTATAAGAAAAAACAACGACAGGGTGTAAACTTACTCAACAAACGAAGCGTCAATCCTGCCGTTGCTGTTCCAAGCTCGGCCCATGCAAGGCTTGCCGTGCCGGTACCAAAGTGCGATAAACTGTTCTTGCGGGCCATGCGGAGTGTTGAGGGGACGGTTCAGTGCTTTCATTATCGGTCTGGAATGAAAATTTCAAATAGAATGCTCAGAAGAATTGAGTTCAGAAATTAGGAATAGTAGGCGACAATGAAAAACATATGCATTGACGGGGAGATTAGGATAGTAGTAGAATAGGATGTTGCGCTGACAAGATTGGATACGTATCGATTGAAATCGCTGGAGAGTAGTAGATTGCGATATTACGATTACAGGATAATAAAATATGTATGTGGTGAAATTAGGACACTGATAGGGTGCCTGCGCAATGTGTGTGCGTCTGCCAACACCCATGAATGGACTTGCTCCACCTTCTTGTGATCGTAGTCAGTGCCTTTAGCCTTTTTTCGCTAAAGATATCACTTGTGGAACTGTGAACCCCGCTCTCTGGAACTTTAAGGTGACCAGTTGGCGTGAGCCCTTGCGTCATTTTGATCTCGGCCTAGCTTTTTCGCACTTAGTGGGTACTAGATTCTGTGGCGAATGACCGATCCCTTGCTTCCTCCCTACACCTTGAGATCCCATCCCAACCCCAGCTTTTCAGTCTCTTCTATGACTTTGTTGCACCTTTTTCATTGTCAACACATAATCCTTTTTTCACATTCCTCTGCTATGCTGAATGCTTCGTTTGACCGCTGCAAGCGCTGCTTCTCCCTCCTATCAATCGCAGCATACGTAGTGTCTGCACCCTCTCGTATACGACGTGCTCTCTCCCCTTTTCCTCTCCTCGCAGCCCTCCGTCTATCGTACTACGGCCTATCTACAAAGAAAAGTTCAGTGTTTCTATGGTGTTTTAGCCTTTTAGTATTCAAGGGACCGATAGCGGCCCGTGTCTTCAAGGAACACCCCATAGTCTGTGATGGCTCAATTCTGCAACCGTTCATACAACTCCAAAACCTTGACAGAACTACCACAAAAAACTAGTCCTTTCCTCATAAAAAGTTATGTAATAGCGAGTCACAAAGGTCAGACCTGTTCGTACGGCAGCCAGCAATATTCGAAACCAGCAGCCGTGGCTGGCAGTTCGACGAGCATTTGCATAGAGCCAACAATGTGTCCAGTGAACTCATGGCCAGCACTGAAAACGGCACCAGGTACGTAAAAAACTATACAACTCGAATGAGTCTATAAGGAAACAACGACAGAGGTGTAAACACACTCAACAAACGAGGCGTCAATCCTGCCGTTGCTGTTCCAAGCTCGGCCCATGCACGGCTTGCCGTGCCGATACCAAAGTGCGATAAACTGTTCTTGCGGGCCATGCGGAGTGTTGAGGGGGCGGTTCAGTGCTTTCATTATCGGTCTGGAATGAAAATTTTAAATAGAATGCAGCGCTTCTCAGACGGACAGTTGAAAGATGGGCTCGCCAGAATCGCCTGCAGCTCAACGTCTCATTTCAGCCACTCTATTTATTAGACTGAGTCATAAGTAATTGCCGATTTCTTCAGACCCACGCCATTTTCCCAGAAAACGTTTGTGTTGTTCCCCGCAGAGCAGTATGT